ACTCACTCAGCCCACAAACACACAGACACATGCTGTAAAAAGACCTGAGGGAAATAATTAAAATAGTAGCAGATACTATTTGGCAGCTCATGCCACTGATCAAGTCTTTAAGAGCCAGATTTTTTTTCCCATGCCTCAAATCGCAGAGGCAAGAACTATCAATCACTGTCAACTCTCCATTTCTTGCTCTCCTTCCTTTCTCAGCTCTGTCTGCTCCTGTCTCCCCTGTAGGCACCACCATTCAGGAATGAAAGATAGCATGCTCAAGTGCAGACACACACATACTTGCACTGCTGAACACACACAAAGCATTAGGCTCAGTGGCCTAGGTGTGAAAGTGACATCACTTGCACTAGCTGTAGGTATAGACCTCAAAACCTCAAATATCAATACTGTCATTGGTCTCAACTGATCCATGGCTCTAATAAGCCATGGTGGTTGCATCTCCTAACCTCAGCCTTATCCTGTTTCTAATTTCCTAGTTCTAACAACTGACACTGTGGCAACAAGCGGCAAAGACAAACTTCAGGTCCTAAGGCAGAAGGAGAGGGGGAGTCGTTGGAACAAGTGCACGAAAACGCTAGCAAAAAAAATTTAGCGAGAATAGTAGAACAGTTAAAAGAGGTGAGGAGAAGAGTGACAGTTTCTTTAATATCCGGGTGGCAGGCAATGTTTTCTTACACAGCAGTGTGTGTCTGTGTGTGTATTTTTCAGTTGCAGTTAGTTTCAAAGCCCTGGGGATTACCAGCTGTCAACAAACCCGAGCAATTTAAAGAGCTGATTGACAGATGGAGGAGCTGTCCAAAGGCCACACCCACTAAATGTCAAAACTTCCATAATGTTTGTCCAAGTAAGTGATCTGAACCATCAGTACAATGATCTCAAATCTATGAGTATCAGTAGTCTTTAAATGTACTGTATTGAAGGCAACCAATAATATTAAAAAATACTAATAACATTAGCTGTCCATTCAAGCAGACACCTAGCAAACTCATTATCCAGAAAAACCTGTCTGCCAATGGGGCTGTAGTGAAAAGTGAGTTCCCACATCAACAGTTACGTCCAATCAGATTTTAATGGGCCTCTCCTTTTTCGCCCTCAGCTCATTTCCTCCTTTCTCTCAGAGCTGTCACTCACTAGGTCAGCAGAGGGAGATAGAAGGAGGGAGCATGCTGTGCCAGCTGTCTAGAGTTACATCTGCCCTTATGCTTTTTGGGTCTAATGGTAATAAACTTTCAGAAAGCTCAAAATGCCATGAATCACACAAAAGAACTTGCAGGAAAAAAAAAACACACACACATACATGAATGCAGGTTTCTCGCACCTATACACTCACACAAATACAAATGTATACACACATGCAAGCATATACACTCTAAAAAGGGATTGGAAGAACAGTTTGCATGTGCGTGTGTGCGTGTGTGCGTGTGTGCGCGTGTGCGTGTGTGCGCGTGTGAACGCACATGCAGGTCAAAGTGATGTCCCATCTCATATCTGTCAGCACTCAGAGTTTATTTACTCGGTTATATTATCATTTGTTGACCTAGTCACATGATCTGAGAGCGGGAGGTGCAGAACCCCCGGCACCCCGGAGAGCCCAGTCAGGACATGATGAGAGACACGGGCCTGTGACCTAACATACTTAGCCACACACACATACGCTCAAGCACTTGCACATTATGACCTCCTCCTTTCTCTTTCAAATCTCCATTTTTTCCCCCCTCACCCTTAAATCCTTTTCGTTTGACTTTTGTCACCCTCTACTGTCCTTTTTTAACCCCATTCCTTCTCTTCTCCCTCTCATTTAGAGTGGTTGTCCACTGAGGGTCTTTCTTTACCCTGCCGGGTTCTTTTTCTTGTTAACACTGAAACAGATGCTCTGTCGGCCAACACCAACAAATGACGATACTTTTATATATCCTGAGTTTCAGCTGCTGAATGTTAAAAACATTTTGACATTGAGGAAAGTGTACATAAATCTCAAACAGTGTGTATAACCGACTTAAGTGTACAGGAGCTTCCTCTCAATAATCCCAATGCATAAGGCTTCTCCTAAATCGCTAGGAGAACTGACTGAACACCTCACAAGAGCTGAGCCAATTAGACAATTAATCAATTCATTAGTCAACAAAAATGACTCATCAACAATTTTCATATGTCATTAATTGTTAGTCTTCATGAAACAACAAAGCCAAAATTCTGTTTCCAGCTTCCAAAATCTCATATTTTTTACATTTCTAAAATGTCAGGAAAAAAACAAATCCCAGTTGACGTCTTCAAACTGCTCACATGGACAAGCAAACTCTCTATTTTTTTTTTTACTATTATTTGACCTTTTACAAACTAAATGAATAACCAATAAATTACAATCATCAGCTGCAGTTCTGATGTCACTCAGCCTCACAATATATTAACTCCTCTCTCTCGTCATTGCCCTTTGCATCTCTATCAGGACAACAGGAATTATTCCAATTTAACACTATAACCAATGAATTACTCCAGTGAAGAAAGAACTCATGTTCCCATCCTCCCCTGGGAGGGTGAAATTTAAAAAAAAAATTAAGATGAAAATTAAGATGATTTATTTGAACTATCACCTGGTTGCTGTGACTTGTACCTCTGCATTACTCACTATTGGATGATTCAATATCACCATTTATCAGTCAAACACAGACTGTTAACAAGTGTGTGCATATGGCAATAAGGTAGACCTTCCTACCTCTCCTAACAGTCTTTTACTTAGCTATGTTCTATGGCAAAGGTGGTAGCAAAATAACTTAAGCACTAGAACTAAGTTAAACAAAGTGAACATGGGGCGCCCCAGTAGCTCACCTGGTAGAATACATACCATTAAGGTTGAGTCCTTACTGCAGCCGCCTGCTGCATGTCATCCCCATGTAATCATCAGGATTAATGACAATAATTCAATTTGTGCATTCAAAATAAAAATTTGTGATTGAATTATTTATGAGAAATTAAATACTAAACTTTTAAACATAGGCCTATTATGATATTATGACACCACCCCATTAACACCCAGATGACGCCAAAGTGCTCTCATTAATTTGTACATTGTCTGTTGTGAGCTTAATTGTTCAAGCAAAACAAACATCTGTGCTTCATTTATTACTCAAGCTATCACAATTTATCTATCTGACTTGTAATGCTCATAACTTGAGAATTAATGACACAAAAATGTTTTATTTTGCTTGCACAAAAAAGAAATGAGTCACCACTTTGGAATAATTTACACATTAATGAGGTGATGAGGCCTATGTCTAAAAACGTAAAGTTTAATTTTTCAAAAACAGTGCAAGCAGAAGTGTTTATGTTGCAAGCACAAACGATGCGTAAACAAATAAATATGGTATGATTTAATCCTGATCCTGTGTGGTGCCAACTTCAAAGAGGTACAAGCTTAGACTAAACTGCTGAAACCTTATCCTGTGTCCAACGCTTATTTTGTTAGTCAAATTATATTTGAAATTTCACATGAATCCAAAAGATTGACTCAAGTTTATATTTCTATTATCTATTTCTATTTATGTGCAAGTACTTTTCTGTGTCGAGGCATTTCAATCTTTCTACATTTATTACTACATCTGTCTAGGCCTCCAGAGCCCTTCAAGTGTCAAAGGTGCTCTATAAATTAATACACATATAACCGGACAAACATGAATAACCCTATGTATGCATAAATACAGGTCCAATGTTGTTGTGCCCGTGGACCCACACACAACTCATCGCTGCTGAATAATTTCCATCCTCTCACAGCCTTTTCTTCCATAATCTCCCGTATATGGAGAACAACACTGCATTAATAGCTGATATAAACAGTATGCACACTGACCTAATGCTTGTCTTGTCTTTCTCACACAATTACACACACACACACACACTTGCAAAGTACAAAATCAACATTGAGCTGACTGTTGTTTCATCTGTACACACATTGGAACACATATGGACAAGGAGCAGAAAGCACACAAGCAAAAACAATGTCCAAACATACGTCATGCCTGAACCTCCATTAATTGAATTTGCTGTCAGCCTTAACATCATCTGTTGACACAGGCCTTAGCCAAGTTTATCTACTTCCCTGCTTGACTCTCTTCACTCAACCTGTTTAATTTTTTCTCATCTGTCCGCTCACATATTCTGTCCTTCACCCACATACACTCGCACTGATGCCTGAGTCCAGTTTCTGTTCTCTTTGTTTTTCCTGAAATATAAAAGTCAAATCTAAACTGCAAAAGTCCGAGGTAAAATAACTGAATTAACAGTCAGAACCATAGAATATTTGTAAAGATGGACGTAGACATGTTTATTTCTGCTGTAAAGTTGGACATTTAACATGGGAGTCAGTGGAGATTGACTTGCTTTGGGAGCCAGCCTCAATTGGCCATTCAAGGAACTGCAGTTTTTGAAACTTCTGTGTTGGCATTATTTTTCAGCCCCATTTGAGGTGCAATGTTTTAACCTATAGTTTTAGTTTTTGTTCAGAAATATTGTTGTTGCAATGTGTTCAATGTCTTATGTTGTCCTTCCTTAAACTTATTTCTTTTGTGAATGCTGGTTGTATGTTAGTTATAGTTAGGCTGTCATTTTGTTCAGGACTATTCCTAGTTGAATAAATGAGAGAATAAAAAAAAAAAAAAAAAAAAAAAAAATACAACATGCGCATCTTACTCCAGCACAGTGCTGTAACAACAACACACACACACACACACACACACACACACCACACACACACACACACACACACACCACACACACACCACAACACACACACACACACACACACACACACACACCACACACACACACACACACACACACACACCACACACACACACACACACACACACACATACACACACACTTGTCTGCTCAGCTCTTTGCTTCAGTCTAACTCACAGCAGATGTTCCACTGCCCAGGGACAAGAAGATCTAACCCACAACGAGCATCTCAACAGAAAAAAAAACTAAAACACAATTACCTGGTATGTTCCGATGCCTATGTGTTTTTGGATCAATCTTCACAAGCTCAGCCAGTGGATCTTGGACACGTCTTCCAATGGACACTGTCGACAAACACGCACAAAATGCGCGCACAAAAAAACACACACACACACAGAAGAAGCAAGCATGTGATACATGTCTCATGAGATTCTATGGTTTGTGTTTTTTATGAACTTGCTATCAGAATCACAGTTATTGAATATGCAAATCCATATTATTTATAATTACTGAATATGCAAATGGTCTGCATATTACAGTGTGGCCTGGAGGTAGGCCAAACCTAATTGTCATTCCTCCACCCCCAATAATAATAATTAAAGCTGGCTTTCAACTGTCTGCACCTGTCATTTAGCTTCCTGATAGATGCTGGAGACATGGACCTTTACAATGACTAATTTAACCACACCCATGCACTTTGGCACACACAGCCAAATGTAGTGCACAAACAAACACACACACACTGAGTCTGTATCGACCAAAATAAGGTTTGCTTTTACCGACGTAGTCTGTAAGGCTTCAGCCTGCTGCTGCACATGAAGCCAAATGTCTTTTCCATGAATATGCTGGCAAGGCCCAGTGACAAGGAGAAAAATTACAAACAACCTTACTCAGATACACACCATAATACATGACATCACCCCTCAACACACACAGGCACACAGAGAGGGGGAGAACAACACAGCAAAACAACTGTTCTCAAATCCCTATAAAAGACAAAGGACATGCCAGCTGTGGGTGTTAACACCATACATTGTTCTTTCTTTGTTTTTCTTGTTATTATTTTCAAAGCTAGAATAAATGCTGTCCTGAAACTTCAGTCATATATTTGAGAAAATAAATAAAGAGTCATCCATATATTTCTTTTAAGAGGTATCTAATGAGTTTAATGATTTGAGTTCAATCAAGGAATAGAGACTGACCAAAATGTTACCCACTTTAAATTTTGGCTTCTAAAATACACTCTATGATGAATCAAAACTTATACAGTTTGTCCCTTCCTCTATTCTGCCTATGAAGTGGCTTGTCAATGTTTTGAACGTGTGCATTTTGTGTATGTTTGAATTTCAGTGGTCAGCAACGAAGTAAGCTGCATGAGACATGTCAGACTTAGATCTTTGAGGCGGAACGGACAGACAAAGAGAAAGAGAGGGATGGGATGTAATAGAGAGAGTATGTCTGGAATCAATGGCTTTCCTCTCCTCTCTCTCCTCTGGCTGCGGTGGGAGGCTGCTGCCTGAGATAATATTTAGACAGGGATGGAGTTTCAACCCTGGCCTTGCTCAGTGCACCACCAAAACTCTCCAATAGTCTTTCCATCTATTCTGTCTCTGACTCCCTCGCTCTCTCTCCCTCCCGCTCTCTTACTGAGAGGAGCCGATTTGTAAATGGAGTCCAGCATAACTCTCCAGCACTTATTGAAAGTTTATGAGCCAAATACAGCACTGCGAAACTGGGCAGTAATGAGGACAGAAACAATAGAGAAAGGCCCTGTTCAGACACAGACACATCTCTCAGGAGAACTGGAAGAATGTGACGTGCAGCATTCTGCCGGCGCAGGGGGGGACAGCTGTGATGTAGCTGCACTGCTTTTGTTGCTGAGCGTGAGGTGAAAAAAAGTACGGTGAAAATAGTTCAACTTTTGAGGAGATACAGCATGGCTTGACTGTCATACTGAAACTGGCAATCAGTGTGTGACAATGGCCTAGGAAAACTGATCTGTACTTTTGACTAATTTTCCATTGTAGTCACTCTAGACTAATCACTTGCTCTGTCTCAGACACAAAAAAACTAAACAAAATAAGCTAAACACAAAAAACAATCCTCTTGAAGAATGGTTGAAATATTGCCTATCACCACTAGGTGTCCCTAGATCTCCCAACAATAGACAGGACAGATGGAGGGTGCCTATAACTCACAGTTTCCTACATACTATGTTACATGGCCACTTGTATAGACAGAGGCAGAAACATGTATACCCCCCTAAAGGCAAAACAGACAGACAGAAACACTCTGTCACCACATCTGTAACCATAGTGTCCTAGCTGAGCACCCCGCTCTTTTTATACCCATCCAAAGTCAGACGCTGTAGATTTCTCATGGCTTTCATTAGGGGTATAAATATGGCTTTCCATGGCTCTCAGTGCTGCTGACCACAGGAAACTAGTGAGGAATAATCCAGCCACACTTGATTTACGGCTTTTATAGAGGAAGTCTGCTGGAAACATTTGTTCTCCAAAACTCAGCATGATTTTTTTTATTCTGCTATGTTTTCAGTGATGTAGTACGTGGAGTGAGTGAGGGAGAGGTGGCAAGTGAGAGAAAGAGGGGACGAGGCAAAGGAAAGCGGGAGAGACAAAACCTAATAGCAATGCCAGAAATTCACTGATAATGTGACAATACTCTATATTGCTGGTAAGAGGTTGGAAATACAATTAAAACTAAGGAAAACAAAATTTGTGAGCATATATTCTGACAGAAATGTAGATGCCAAGAATATCACATAGTTGTCTGGCCAAATATTTAATCGCCATCAGAAGACAAGCCAGCATAGTTGCTTAGCTAGAGTACCTGCACTCCTAAGGTTGGGGTCCAAGTCTGGCATCTCTTTGACTGCCTCAGGACTCACGCTGTAGATGGATGCTCCTGCCTCATTGGTTATACTAAGGAAAGAAAGGGAAGAAAAACAAGTCAAAGAGTGAAATATATAAAATGAGTGGGAGGAGGAGTTGATGGCCTTTATATAGAAACATGGAATGAGAGGCAAGCTGGCCAGTGGGGGAGAAGGTGAGGGAGAGAGGGGTGAAGGGAGACGGGGAAAAAACATTGTGAGCAGTTATTACTGCTTGAAAGACATAATGGCAAAGCTATTATGGAAAATCACCACTGACTTGGACTTTAAATAATGCAGCTGACAAGTTCTCATTCAAGTCAACCTGACTGACCGTTTGTAGTCAAAGCTTGATTATCATTACTGACTCAATGGCCAAAATAGCATCATCACTAGTAGCCCTGCCTTAATGTTAACACTGCAATTACAATCTTTCAAATGCTCTTAGGAATTCTTATTCATTTGACAGCAGGTGTCAAGAACCACATGCATCTCAATTGCATGTACGAACCATTGGCTTAGTATTAAACTATGACTGCTAAACATATCCAGAATAGGTCATTTAGTGAGTCAGATAATTGAGAGAGATTATTTGTATGGTTCCTGTTTCACATTGAAACGACTGACACTTTAATAACAGTCAATATGACGTGCTGTGTGTTTGATCTGCACTTGCAATTTATGTGGCACTACTGCCATCTAGAGGTCATTACAGTGTATTACTATTTGTCAGTATCTATAGATCATCACTGTCATGCGTGACATTGAGAATTTTTTTTTTCATAATATGACCACACAACAGTGGTGTCAGTGTTGTGATTCCAACTGATACTCTATCCAATGCACGACCTGCTAAACCTTCAGATCTCTTCAGTTCAAAAAAAGTTGATCTGCTTTTGCTCATTCTTGTGTATACCTGAAAACAAGATAGATCAATTATATACTAAACTGAATTTTTGTACACTGACTCACAATTTCTCACTCTTAGATATTTTCAAAACTTGTAGTCAACTTCAGAGTGGCAGCTAACACTGTGAGCTAATCAACTGTCTCTTGTTTACTGTCTCTAGTAAACTGTCCACTAAAATATTTGAGACAAAAAAATAATGCGCTGTGTCTCTGGACACACCAGAAGCTATCACACACACACACATCAATCACTGTCTCTGTGATCAATCACTGAACAAACAGCTTGAAACAGGGTACTTAAAAAATAAGATTCAGCCACTTTAAAAGACACAGCCAGATTTCAATGGAACATTCAGTTGAATAAAAAACTGAAATTTCTGTACATGTTACCACGTTTTTCCAGTTTGAATCTAGTGGCAAACTCAATCAGCTTTGGCAATCTTTGGCGCAAAGACTTTGACACTGTGTTGTACTGAATCCAGGACGCCTTAAGGTGCTCTTAAAGATGAAAAACTTACAGTGAGGGAAAAAGAAAAGAAAACATTTACAGGCACTCTTAGGCAGAGCAAGGAGATGATATATTTTAAAGCACCTTCATAATTACACTCAATGTTTAATGAAATTTCCTTACAAACATATTTATTGCACAGCACTTTATCAAAAAAAAAAAAAACACCCTTATTCAAGCTCATATGCCAATTTCTGTGTCGATATTTTTGACATGTAAATCTTGACAATTAAAATGAACTGATTCTACATGGAAATTGGTTTTACATGACAACAAATGATACCATTTGCCATGTTAATGTATTCAGTAACATAGGCTGCTTATCATCCATCACAACACAGACAGGATGGTGGTAAAACAAAGCCACTGATACCCGTGTTAATGCTGCCGACCTACAACTGAAGCTGTCGTATTGTTTAGTGCTTCTGCTCACTCGGGTGAATGGAAAGATAGGGAAGCCTGGAGGGAGAGAGGGGGGCTTTTTCCTCAGGGTTGACCAATATGATGAAGGGGTCAGTACCTCCCCTATGTACAAAACTCAGAGTGAGGCCTTCTGTGATGTGTACACACACACACACACACACACACACACACACACACACACACACACACACACACACACACACACACACACACACTATCCTAGAGGCCCGGACCTTGCCACAACAACCTTGCCAATTATAAGTATCTTGTTAATGAGGAGTGGCAGAGGCCTTCTGATGAGAATCATATTTAAATGAACTTGTCCTCCCGCCCTCTTTTTCTCTCTCTTTCCCATCCTCTGTATTCATCCCTTCCTCCGCCCCACTGTTCTTTTTGTCAGGTCCTTATCCATCGTGCTGACAGCTGACATATCGCCATGGTGACACTACTAACGAGCACTGGCACATGACCTTCAAAGAGGTCAAAGCAGAGCTGGTCATTAACCTGACACACTGCCTCACACATATACATGCGCACACACACACACACAGAGAGACACACAAGCTAATTTATGCTGAGTAAGTAATACAGAAGATAATTGAGTGAATATTACTCAAAAACATCCACTATACTCAAATCACACACTGACTGTGCACAGATGGACAAGGCTTTCAATTAGGTCACATGGAGAGAAAAAAAAACAGGGCTCACACCTCTAACCTCACTCTTTGGTCTCATTCAGAGAGAGTAGGACAATGGAGGTCAAGTAAAAGAGTGCCAGGGCCTCAACTAGTATTGTTCAAGAAACAGAGACAGGAAGACAAAGAGAAAGAAAAGGAGATGGGGCTGACAAAAGTAAGAAAAAAAAAGGTATCATTAAGAACACACAGAATGATATAACAAAGGAGAATAGGGAGAGAAAAGAAAGCAAGGCCACCAGCCCCTATCATGTCTAACTTAATTAAGGCTGCCGCTGGGGCAGCTGGGTAACAGCACTGTCATGGATACAGCTCTGAGCTCTCATTGCCATAGTGTCCACAGCTGTCGCCATAGTCAGGGCATCGTCCTGGCAGCTAGCAGAAGGTTGTCAGTTCCCTAGCTCTCTGGCCTAAGTGGGTGGATGGCCGATGCTTGGACACACACACACACACACACACATATTGAAACACAAAGTCGAGGTCGCCTCTTGGTGTAAAGCGGCGACTTGGTGGCCCTGTAGGGTTATCATATATTCACACTCTCTTTTGCTCTCTCAATTGTACACACACACACAAACACAGGCCTGCCTTTAGCCCCGTCCCATCCTGGGGCAAAGTCACAAAAACTGGCTCCTCTATCTGTTCCCCTTCTGGTCGTCTTTGAGACACACCCTTGGGCTGACACACAAGCACACACACATCATGACTGGCCCCCTGCTGTCCCTCAAGAAACCTAACGTTGGAAGAGATGGATACACACTTTGATACCTCATTACAGCCTTCTGGCATACAGATCCCTAATCTAAATTAAAAACAGCTCATCATATCAGTCAGAGAAGAAGAGGGGCAATAATATCACCAGCTAAACTGATACAGAGGACAAAAAGTTGGGGGGAGGAGGAAGGGGAAAGAGGTAAACAAAGTGAACAGGGACAGAAAATTACATTTTAAGGCTAAATGCTGAAATATACAAAGGCCTATATCTTAATATGTCAATGGCACTAAGTGTAAATAAACACATTGCATGTAACAATACCATTTTTTATAAGGAACTGCAAGGCCTCCTAATGGTAGACTTCAGTAAAAGTATATATGTAAAAATGCATGTACGTGATTTCAAATTGGAACAGCACTGTAAAAAAGCAGAAGAAAGTGTTGTATTTCAAAGGGAGTATGTAGAGAGTAGAGAGTATGTGAATATGTGGCTGAAGATTGGTTATATATTTATGTTATATGTATGTTATATATATATACATCTATGCAATAATTTACCCTTCCCTAAAGTTATCTGGGAAAATGCACAGAAACTAGTGGGAGAACTCTTAACTGAGCCACAATTTCCCCTCACTGCATTAACAGGCAGTTACTTGAGTTGTCATATCAAACAAAATATGCCATCAGATGAAAACTGTTATCTATAGGTAAGCTGCAGTACCATAAAGTCATCAAGGGGTCAGTAAGAATTGACTACTAGCCTAGATGGGTTTCAAGTCGGACACTCGAGAGCTGAGGAATACACCCACACACACACACAACTATATTATGTCATATTCTATTGGCGTAATCTGTCGCTTTATTTGTCCTCAACTCAGACTGGACTCTAAATAATTGGATTGCCTCATGTTATTGCCTTAGAAGGAGTTGTGATGTCACATATTACCAGCCCAAAATGCATTCATATTAACACACACACACACAAACACACACAAGTTTCTCCATCCCGGCTGCTCAAACAGCTTGGGTCCATTGTTCAGTCAGCTGCAAAGCTTGACCTCAGGGAGACAAATTGAGGGACGCACCATCTCTCTCTCACACACACACACACACACACACACACACACCACCCACACACCACACACACACACACACACACACACACACACGTCGGGTCTGAAGACGATGACATTTTTCACAGAGAAAAGCGTCCAAATGGCAGGTGTCAGGGGCCGTCAGTCTCTAGCGAGGCGCTAGAAGGCAGGCAGGCACACACACACACACAAACTCCAACTGCCAGTGTTAGGCACGTCTGAAAAGAGCAAAGCCTCACAGACACTCATGTCAATCTGGTAGCAGGAAAGGCCTGCACTTGTGTCACGCACAAACGCATACACACCACCATGCACACCCCAAATCACAAATACACACATGGCATGTCACACAGACTCATGTTTGTCACACGCAGGACCATCGCAGGGAACAGTGGAACCCTAGGGGAGGATGGCATGGTGGACGGGTGGAAGGAAGGGGAAGGAGGGGAAGAAGATGGGACAGAGGCTGACCACCAGCCTGGTGGTCCATGCCCACCAGCACGGTGGGAGGGGAGAGGTAGGTGAGGGTGATATGGACAAGGCTGGCAGATATTCACAGCCCACCACCTGTGCCAGAGGTCCCAATGCCACTCCCCTACAGATGATGAGCCACACAAACAAACATAAATATACCTTATTCAAGAAACACTGCTTAGCTGTGGTACGACCTGCTGTAAAACAAAGACGTAATACATCAGATTTGAGG